GTGGTCACACATTGTAACTACACACTAAAATCATTTACGCTACTTTAATAATAAATCTATGAGCGATTATTAATTTCCTTAATCCTTTATACAAGTTTAATAATACATTAGTGAGTGATGATCAGTGAACTGAAGGACAGTCGCTGCTGTTCAGCATCAGAGTTTAAATCTGCAGCTGCTGATAATCAGTTTTTGTGTAAAACAAGATGCTGCTAGTCAGTTAGCATCGTTAGCTCCGCTCAGAGTCTCTGCGGGATGTTTTCATCTCTGTGGAGCTGCTTCTAGTTCACACTGACAGATAAAACACTGATTTCATGTTACAATAGGAAGAAGATTTGAGAAATAACAACAGAAACACCAAGAGAGCAACAAGTGCCTCATTAGCCGATCGGCAGCGGGAAACCAGCTAACTGCTAACTTAGCCTTCTGCCCCTAGTGGACACAGTATGTAACGACAAACAGAGTAAAGTTAGAGAACTAATATATGATTAGCACTTCCTTTGGATTCTTTCAAAGTAAAACACAAGGAACTAAATTCCCCCGTAAGTACATTTTAGCTTATTAGTTTATGAATGTATCAGAAAGCATAAGTATGTCATTTTCTTCGGTATGGTATAAATTACATTATTGGGCTCTGAAGCCAAATTATCGTAATTATTCTGTTTTCCAGAAAAAATAAATATTTCAAAATATTCTCCTGACAAAACAGAAAACAAAGCATCTTGGCGAACAAACCCGTGAATTATTTAATCAGGAAACATTAATATGTAATTTACTTGATATATAGATGAGTTATCAATATGTAAATAACACATCTATATGTCAAATCAACTATCAGTTCGTTAGACAGACCATAATATTAATATTTATAATGACAACTCGCCTCTATATTCAGAGCGGGGTATTTCCGCCCTCTGGTGGCCATAGTGGGAAATACAGTGCTGATAATGCTGCAGTAGTTACGTTTAATATCCACTTAATGTGGAGTTTTGAGAAAAACTAACAGTCTTCCTGAGTCCTATCCACAGTTTACTAACTCAAATATTATTCTGACATATTTAAATTCGGTGTTTGGAATCTCTGCGGGATGTTTTCATCTTTCTGCTTCTAGTTCACACTGAAAATCCAAACATTAAACATGAAAAACCTTACGGGGAATAATTAAATGTGAAAAATTGATACAGTTTAAAATATTACGAGTGGTTGGATTCAATGAAAATTTGTTGCCGAGTCTGCAATTAATTTTTCGCAATCAATCAGAAAACCATGACTGAGTTAATCTGTGAATTGATGTGTCACACACATTAATGTTATTTAAATACTTTTATCTGTCTGAAGAAATAAGAAAATTACATGTGGAAAAAACCTCAGCGGAGTTTAATTTGCTGCTTTTGTGTATGGTTTTGTTGTTTAATAAAAGTTAAATATATTATTTCAAATAAAAGCAAACAGTAAAATGACCGTTTCTATCGATCTTAATGTGAAAGAACAAGCCGGAAGTGAATGTGCAACGTAACTCTCTAACTTTATGACGTGGCTGTAGTTACTATCTAGATCCACTAGAGGGCAAATACCGCCCTAAAATGATATTAATAGTTTAGGAGCCACAGCTCCTCTGAAGCTCCTGCTGGTCTGGTAGCATCGTTAGCTCCTCTCAAAGTCTGCGATCTGGTTCATCTCTGTGAAGCTGCTTCTTCTTCACAAACAAAACATTGATTTTATGTTAAAATATGAAACAGATTTAAGAAATAACAGTAGAAACACCAAGAGAGCAACAAGAGATTCATTAGCTGATCAGGAGCGGGAAAGTAGCTAACTACTAACTTAGCCTTTGCCCCCTAGTGGACACAGTGTGTAACGACAGCAAGAGTAAAGCTAGAGAGCAGATATGTGAAAAGCACTTCCTCTGTGTTCTTTCAAAGTAAAACACAAGGAACTAAATTCTCCTGAAAGTACATTTTAGCTTGGAAGTTTATATTGTAAGAAAGCTTAATTGTGCAATTTTCTTACGATGTTATTATTATTATATAATTGGGCCAAATTATAGTAATTATTCTGTTTTCCAGAAATAATTATTTCTTAAAAATTCTCCTGACTAAACAGGAAACTCAGCATCTTGGCAAACAAACCTGTTATTGTATTAATATGTACCTTATTTGGTAGATATAGAGTTATTTGTATGTAAATAACACATCTATATATTAAAGTCCATTAGACAGACCACAATATCAATATTTATAATGAGAAAGATATAAACGTGATCAACTTAACAGAAGTCAGAAACCAGCTGCAGCTCTACAAACTCACCTCTATGTTGAGAGCGGGATATTTCCGCCCTCTGGTGGCCATCGTGGGAACTACAGTGCTGATAATGCTGCAGTAGTTACGTTTAATATCCACTTAATGTGGAGTTTAGATAAAAACGAAGTTTTCCTCAGTCATATTGACAGTTTACTAACTCAAATATTATTCTGATATATTATAATTCATTGTTTGGAGTTATATGTAATGAAGACAGATTTAAAAAGAAACTAAAGCTGCTGTGTTAAACTCTTTACAGAGTTTAGGACAAAGAATTTGATCATGTCAGAAAACGGCCACATGACCATGATAGCGATTGAGTATGCAGATCAATCAAAACCCAAATTAACGAAAGGTTTTCATCACGGGAAAATTGGACAGATAAAGTTCTCTGAGCCACAAAGAAATCCCACAAAACAATGTGGCACATCCAGTTCACTTCAGAACAATACGCTTATTGCTTGTTGTTGTTGAGCTTTCTTGCAGATTCGTGATTTTTCTGATCAGACTGAATAAAATCCTGCAGTGACTCTTATTTAATGACAGTAATGTAAGCTGACTTGATCTGACTTTAAAATTAAAACAAAGAGAAACATCTGGTTGAACAATTTCTATTGATGATGTAAATAATGAATAAATCCAGAACGACGGCAGGATGACCGATGGAGAATGTCCTGATATGTGAGGAAAATTAACTGTTTCATCTCATGAACATATAAACTTTTGTCCAAGCATCATCAGAGGTGGAGTCGCTCGTCCCGTCTGTATCAGCGCTGAATTTTCCTGCGTACCTGAACACATCTTCAGTAAAACCAGCCTCACTGAAGCCAATAGACCAGAGCTACGTTGCAGGAAAACTCTGAAGCTTCTTGCTGGTTTTGGCCTCTAAACTGAGACGCGCTCTCATGAGAAGTGAAATGTTGCACTAGGTGCAGGAGATGACCTTTAACCCCTGGTCCCAGGTTTTAGGCGGTGTTGAGGTGAAAAGCGAGGCTCCTGATCTGCTGTGAGTGACGTGACGCTCGGTGGAAGTTCTGCATCCTGTTGCAGCTTCATGTTGGAGACGTGAGGTTTTGCTTCTCCTGTCAGGGATTTGATGGGAAACGAGTCACAACATTCAGATGATTTCGTCACTTTGACGATGCAAACTCTGGTTCCTCAGTGTTTGGTCTGTCAGAACGCTGGCTCAGGTTTCTCCTCTAGTTTTTCTTTAAACTTGTTTCACTTTAAATCCACACAAATAAACCACAGAAAGTTATTTTCTCATCTTCTGATGCAAATTTGCATCCATCAACAAAAGCAGGAAAATAAAACTGTTCTCCTTGAACAACAGCTGTGCAAACTGATCCCATCACATCTGTGAGCAACAAGGAGTTAATCTCTGGTTCACCTTTGACCTTTTCTTCCTTCTTGTTGCATCAGAAACTTAAAGTGAATAAAGACGTTTGAGTGAAACCAGGTTTCAGGTGGACTGAAGTCGTCTTCACTGTGAACTTCATCAACTTTCTGCTTCACAACAAAACCTTTCAAATCCAAACACACATCCAAGCAGCCGAGTCCAAATGATCCACGTTCAAATATTGTTTCTTTTCTCTGCAGGATCTGGTCAGGACGTCTGGATCTCAAGTGGATTTAATGCCACAGATCCAGAGGAAGTTTTACTGTTTGGCTCTGAATCTATAGAGCTGCTATCATGTCTGATTTTAGATCAACTTTTTTCACCTCAACAGAATAAAATGACATTTTGTCCCATTAACAAACTCTTTAAAGCTTTTTAATGAAATTTATGCTTCATGTTTTTGCTCAATTCAACTTTTCTAACAAACTCAGAGTATTTTTCTCTCTTTTGTTCCTGCAGATCATCAAACAGATCAGATGAAAAATAAAACTGAAAATCTTCAACAATCGACGTCTGGAAAACATTTGAAATAGAAATAGAAATGTTCTGAGGTTGGTGACGGCCTCGTCCGTCGGTTGTTGCTACACCTGCACATGAAACCAGCGGAAACGCTGTCGCTATGAAAATGCAACGGGGGACCTGTGGTACAAACATGGAGGAGGCAGCATCATGCTGAGGGGAAGCTGGTCCCAGTTGATGTGAGTCATTTTGATGCTTTTCAAGTTCATAGTGAATGTAAAAAGCTTCAGCATATAAAACATTATTTTATTAAGATAAATATAGCCTTCTCAAAAATAAAAAGACTTTTTACTCTGAAGAATTTTAAAGAAGCAATAAAATGATAATTAGTTTCATTAGAATGAAAACTATTTTGGATAAAAATCTAATTAAAACTAATATTTTCATAATGACGACTAAAAAGAATCTGAATTTGTAATAAAACGTTTTCTATGAAAATAAAACCCAATAAAAAGAGAAAAGTGTTTTGAAGCCATACAGTAGAAAGATAAATAAAGCGTACTTCTAGAGGAGGAGTCGGTCCATGGTGACCTTCAGCGTCTCCTTGACCTCTTTGAGCCGAGACGGCGAGGCGGTCGGCGTCCGTCCTCTGGAGACTGGCTGGGACGTCCTCCTGTCCCTCTGCCTGGTGGAGAACAGCAGGTCCTCCAGGACAGCAGGACGCCGCCTTCCTTCTAATGCAGGAAACACAGAGAAGCCGCAGCATGACGCTGCCACCGCCGGGCCCCGTGAGAGCTGCTGGTGTCTGAGTGCTGCAGCAGCAGGCAGGACAAGCTGCAGAGATGAAGGCCTGGAGGCGTCTTCATCACACTGGGAGGTTTCACCAGCTGTGTTTCCATGACAACTGTCAGCAGATCTCAGTCCGTTTTCTGCTGATGTGAAGAAAAACAAACAATTTGACTGAAGCAACGTTTCCATGAAATGAAAATCAGGTGAATCATTTAGAGAAGTCATTAATATTCATGGCAGACACCATGGAAACAGTTTCTGAATAAACTTTATTCCCAATAAAGAAAATACAGCAGCAGGCAGTAATATGCTGGAGATGCTGAGGGAACAAATCCACAGTTTACAAATCAAATTCAGGTTAGAAGTTTCATAGCTTTAGAGTCGATGCACATCTTTAAAGAGTCCATAAAACATCTTAGAGAAACTGTAAAAACTCTGAAGTTGGTTTGTTTTCAGCTCATTTACAGCATGTAGAGAAACTTGGCCAACAGGATCACAACGTTTACAATATTTTCTTTCCAACCAGATTATTATTGGAAATACCAAAGCAAACATGTTGAACAGTCAAAGGAATAAATATATTACATTTTCAACTAAAGACAATATTGAAGACACAGAAAAACGTTTTTCGAAAATTCCCAAAAAAGGGTGAAAGTTTCTGGTTCCAAGTTCCTCTTTGGCCGAAAGGCAGCAAATATTCACCAGGATGATGATAATAATCATATTTATTGATTCTCTGCTAGCTTTATCTTGTGGTTGTGTCCCACAGAGGGGATCACAGCAAACATTAAGTGCCTCAAACAAAAACCAACCAACAATGAAAAGTTGTTGGCCCCGCCCTCACAGCTGCTACTAAAGACAAACAATCAGAACAAAAGGAAAACAAAACTCTAAAAGACAGCAGGCGGCACTGCAACCACTGTAAAAACATAAAACGACTAAATACTTATTCAATCATTTTAATCAAGTCAATCTAAACACACATTAAAAACGCTGCCTGCCTGCATGGCACAAATCACCATCAGCTCAAATCTGGTGGATCCACCAAATAAGAACAAAACATAAAAAACATGCAATTCATCTTTAATAAAACAACAGTATAAAACGTACCTACAGCGTCGAGCACCAACACCCAGGTAACGTGACTCCCGACCATCAACCAACAACGTGTGACCCAACCACACCTGAATCAACCAGGAAATCAACACCTGACCTCCAGTTTCCCCTTGATGGAGCCTCAGGCTGCGGGGAGAGCGACACCTAGTGGCGCCACCTGTTAATGACAAAAGGAGCAAAGAGGATCGATATTTGGAAAATATTTATTCAGTTCTGAATTTACAATATTTAAAACCTGCAGAAAACTTTGACGCCTCCCGTACTTTATTATAGACACAAAACACTTTCTTGGCAATAACCATGTTTGTTCCCAATCAATATCTGAATAAAGATTGTTCCAATAAAAGATTGAAGCAGCTTTGCTAATATTATTCATCTGAATTATTTCTCTAATATGTTGATTTCTGGTTTTCATACTAAAGAACGGCTCTGAATGACCAATAAATGACTCTGGAAATCTGGAATATTGGATCTGGTCTCAACTTGAGGTTGATATGAGAAACTTGATAGAAAACAACAGAAAATTCTGCAGGGAAAATTATATTTCCTAATAAATTAACCATCATTAAACAATTGTTTACAGATAGAACATCATTTCCCACATAGTTCTAAAGAAATAGGGATTTATGCTTGAAGCTAATGTTTGGTTTTTCCCAATAAAACAGTTATGAGGGAAAGTTATGCTTATGATAATGTCCAGGATAAAAGTTGTTGTTTATGGAAGCTGTATAAATGAACTGGGAGCTTTTCTATTTTCTTGATCAAAAGTCTTTAAACCAAAGATTTAAAGACTCTGTAGGAAGATTAGAGTCTAATGAACAAAAACACAAAGTTTATAAAACCTGATGATCATTAAAACTGTTTGAATCCAAATGTTTCCATCATCAACACATCGATGCTCTGAGCTGCAGCTTCAAATACAAACATTATTTTCACATCATTTATGTGAAACTTTTGCTAAAATCATTCCGGCCTCAGAACCGACCCGGTACCGGTACTGTTATCGGTACCGGTCCACATTCTCAGAGAGAAAGGATAATAATGGAACCATCAGTTTCTAGCAGGTGTGTATATTATCGCTCGGTACCAGAGTTACAGAGACAGAACCGGGTCCCAGTCGGAACCGGGTCGGTCGGTACCAGAGAGCAGGCCGATGAGCAGCATTACCACCCATCCGGACCAGGCGTCCAGGAGGCTCTTGATCAGCTCCCAGATGGACTCTTTGCTCTTGCTGGTGATCTGCGGGACAAACACGCACACGGTGAGCGGGTCGGCATCGCCCCACGCTCCGAACCCAGCCCTCCAGAACCTTTCGGTGCCGGTCCGTGTCCCTGGACTTCTCCCTCAGCCAGTCGATGGTGTGGAAGTCCTCGTAGGTCCCCACGTCGGGGAACGGCTCGTCCAGGAAGTCCATGAGCGACCCGGCCCCGTTCATGTCCTCCGTGGGAGTGGGGAGGGGGACACCTGTCCACGGAGGACATCAGCAAGCTGCGCTCGGTACCGTGTTGCCATGACAACGGGCCTTACCTTCTGCCGCCGCCGCCATGTTGTCCTCTTGGACGCGTGGACTAATCCCGGCAGAACATCACGCAGGACATTTACACAACAAACCCACGAAGAGACCAGCAGCGACACAGACTGAGGCACCAGCCCGCAGCTCTCGCGATACCTACCAGATCTCGCGTTACTTCACAGCAAAAGCTCGTTCAGCAGTGAAATGAGCGATAAATACCGGAAGCAGGTTTTTAATAAATTGATGGGTCACAAATTAATATTTTATTCTCTACAATAAATATTACATCAGATTATTTATGTTTGACTTAAACATTAGAAACGAAAACAGCAAAATAAAACCAGGAGTTATTCTGACATCTAGTGGTCAAAATCTGAAACTACATCATCATTAATGGCCACAAATATTTTAGTTAAACTGAATTAAAATATCAAAATATGGAGATTTATTCTTGGAGTATTTGTGATTAAAACTTGTTATAATTTCCATATTTGTATAGTATTTATATTCAGCCTGCATTAGAAATTCCTCCAAAGAGAATTATTACACTGATGATATTTTAATATATGTCTTTATTTTGAAAAGCAACAGCGCCGCTCAGCCACTGACGTTTTATTAGAGCAGCTGATTAAAGTTCACTGCTTAGAGGCGAATCAAACGGATGAACTGAACGTTCACTTGTTATTCTCATTTATTTCACACAAACATATTTTCATAGAAATTATTTATAAAGTTTGATTAGTTCTAACTGCCATCTGGTGGAGATCTGTGGTAACTACAGATATCCTTTATCGATCATTTATTGATATTTGTTCTAATTATCACTTTGATCAAGTCATAAAAATGAGCTTCTAATAATGTTGTTAAATAAGAGTCACTATAACTGAAAAGAAAACTAAACTAAAAATCCTCCCTGAAAGTTGAACTGGTTGAGAATTAAAGGCTGAAAAAATATAATCATTAAAAATATTTTTACGTTCAAATCCAAACATTAAACATTAAGCAGGATGAAAAATACTGGAGAAAAATTTAAAAAATTAATACAGTTTAAAATATTACGAGTGGTTGGATTTAATTAATTTTTTTGTTCATTGAAAATTTGTTAATCTCATAATTAATAAAAAAAAAGCATGACTGAGTTTAATCTCTGAATTAAGGTATCACACATTAATGTTATTTAAATACTTTTATCTGAAGAAATAAAAAAATTACATGTGGGTGGAAAAAACCTCAGCAGCGTTTAATTTGCTGCTTTTGTGTATAATGTTTTTGTTTCATAAAAGTTAAATATATTATTTGAAACAAAAGCAAACAGTAAAACACCCCGTTTCTATAGGTCTTAATGTGAAAGTACTCACCGGAAGTGTATGTGTAATGTAAACTTTCTAACTTTATGAAGCAGCTGTAGTTACCATCTGGGTCCACTAGAGGGCAAATGCCGCCCTAATCTGAAATAGTTTAGGAGCCAAAGCTCCTCTGAAGCTGCTGCTAGTCTGTTAGCATATTCTAACAGACTAGCAGGACTCTGAGACTCCGCTAGCTCCGCTCAGAGTCTCTGCGGTCTGGTTCATCTCTGTGGAGCTGCTTCTAGTTCACATTGACAGATAAAACATTTATTTCATGTTAAAATAGGAAGAAGATTTAAGAAATAACAACAGAAACACCAAGAGAGCAACAAGAAAGCCGTCAAGAGCTGGAAACTAGCTATCTGCTAACATAGCCGTCTGCCCCCTAGTGGACACAGTGTGTAAATACAAGAGTAAAGTTAGAGAGCTGATATATGAAAAGCACTTCCTTTGGATTCTTTCAAAATAACACAATGACCTAAATTCTCTGTGTTTTATTGAGAATTTAATAAAACACTTAAGTACATTTTAGCTTAATGTACTTAAGCTAAAAGTACATTAGCTTAAGTACATTAAGCTAACTTAATGTACAGTACATTTTTATGTACTTAATGTAACTATCAGAAAGCATAACTATCAGAACTTATGCTTTCTGATAGTTTATTATCTTATCAGAAAGCAAAAGTATGTAATTTTCTTACGATTTGATGTAAACTATATTATTGGGCTCTGAAGCCAAATTATCGTAATTATTTTTGTTTTACAGAAAAAAGAAAATTTAAAAAACATATTCTAACTAAACAGGAAACTCAGCATCTTGGCGAACAAACCTGTTAAGTATTTCATCAGGGAATATTAATATGTAATTTATTTAGGAAATATAGATGAGTTATCTGTATGTAAATAACATCTATATATTAAATCAACTGTCAGTCCTTTAGACAGACCATAATAATATGAATATTTATCATGAAAATGATAAACATAATCAACTAAACAAACGTCTGAAATCAGCCGCAGCTCTGCAAACTCACCTCTATGTTGAGAGCGGCATATTTCCGCCCTCTGGTGGCCATAGAGGGAACTACAGTCTTGATAATGCTGCATTATTTACATTTAATGTGGAGTTTAGAGAAAAACTAACAGTCTTCCTGAGTCATATTGAAACTTTACTGACTCAATTATCCTGATATATTTTTATTCACTGTTTGGAGTTATATATGTCATAAAACTGTTTTAGATAATAAAACAAAGCTGCTGTAATAAACTCTTTAAAAGACGTTTTTTTCTAATCAAAACTGAATAAAATCCTGCAGTGACTCTTATTTAACAACAGTAATGTAAGCTGACTTGATCTGACTTTATAACAGTGAAAATTAAAACAAAGAGAAACATCTTGTTGAACAATTTCTATTGATGATGTAAATAATGAATAAATCCAGAACGACGGCAGGATGACCGATGGAGAATGTCCTGATATGTGAGGAAAATTAACTGTTTCATCTCATGAACATATAAACTTCTATCCAAGCATCATCAGAGGTGGAGTCGCTCGTCCGTCTGTCTCAGCACTGAATTTTCCTGCGTACCTGAACACATCTTCAGTAAAACCAGCCTCACTGAAGCCAACAGACCAGAGCTACGTTGCAGGAAAACTCTGAAGCTTCTTGCTGGTTTTGGCCTCTAAACTGAGGACGCGCTCTCATGAGAAGTGAAATGTTGCACTAGGTGCAGGAGATGACCTTTAACCCCTGGTCCCAGGTTTTAGGCGGTGTTGAGGTGAAGAGCGAGGCTCCTGATCTGCTGTGAGTGACGTGACGCTCGGTGGAAGTTCTGCATCCTGTTGCAGCTTCATGTTGGAGACGTGAGGTTTTGCTTCTCCTGTCAGGGATTTGATGGGAAACGAGTCACAACATTCAGATGATTTTGTCACTTTGACGATGCAAACTCTGGTTCCTCAGTGTTTGGTCTGTCAGAACGCTGGCTCAGGTTTCTCCTCTAGTTTTTCTTTAAAAACTCGTTCCACTTTAAATCCACACAAATAAACCACAGAAAGTTATTTTCTCATCTTCTGATGCAAATTTGCATCCATCAACAAAAGCTGGAAAATAAAAAAACTGTTCTCCTTGAACAACAGCTGTGCAAACTGTTCCCATCACATCTGTGAGCAACATGGAGTCGATCTCTGGTTCACCTTTGACCTTTTCTTCCTTCTTGTTGCATCAGAAACTTAAAGTGAATAAAGACGTTTGAGTGAAACCAGGTTTCAGGTGGACTGAAGTCGTCTTCACTGTGAACTTCATCAACTTTCTGCTTCACAACAAAACCTTTCAAATCCAAACACACATCCAAGCAGCCGAGTCCAAATGATCCACGTTCAAATATTGTTTCTTTTCTCTGCAGGATCTGGTCAGGACGTCTGGATCTCAAGTGGATTTAATGCCACAGATCCAGAGGAAGTTTTACTGTTTGGCTCTGAATCTATAGAGCTGCTATCATGTCTGATTTTAGATCAACTTTTTTCACCTCAACAGAATAAAATGACATTTTGTCCCATTAACAAACTCTTTAAAGCTTTTTAATAAAATTTATGCTTCATGTTTTTGCTCAATTCAACTTTTCTAACAAACTCAGAGTATTTTTCTCTCTTTTGTTCCTGCAGATCATCAAACAGATCAGATGAAAAATAAAACTGAAAATCTTCAACAATAGATGTCTGGAAAATATTTGAAATAGAAATAGAAAATGTTCTGAGGTCAAAGGTCATCATCTTGATCCAGAGTCTCTTTAGACTCAAACTGCTGCAGCTTCAACCTGTGAGGATCAGCAGGACACAGAGACGTTCTCTACTTTACAGAGATCATCAGATCATCTCCACCTGCAGAGAGAAGAAGGAAGGAGAGCAGATCAGTGAGTGTTTCCAGTAGCAGTCAGTGACGCAGCACATCCAGTAGATGGTTTCCAGTCAGACTGATCTCAGAGCTGTGACCAAGATGAACCTGATCAGTTGTTTCCTGTTGAACTGAGAACAAGCAGGTCTGAGATCAGATCTGCTGCTGTTTGATGAATGAGGACCACTGTCTCTAGACATGTTGGACGCTGGAGTCCAGCTGGACGTCCTGGAGACATGGACACAGCAACAACACAGCAAGCTGCTGTTCCTCTGATTGGCTGATTGCTGTGTCCAATCAGGAAGCCTGAACCCATTCTCCTCCCACTGAGAAGCTGCAGCTTTACTGGGAACACTGGATCTTTGCTTTGATGCTGACTGGGTTTAGTTCAATATGCTGACAGCAGCTGGACTCACTGCAAACATTTACTTACTTTACAGTCTTTACAAGATCCTTCAGCTGCTGAACATCTGATTCCTTCAGGTTGGTTCCTGTCAGGTCCAGTTCTGTCAGACGGGTCGGGTTGGACTTCAGAGCTGAGGCCAAATAATCACAGCTGATCTTTGACAAACTGCAGTCCTCCAACCTGAATAAAGAATAAAAGATGTGAACCAAACAGGATGCAGGTTAACCAGTCCAACAGAACCAGTTAAAGATTCTCATGAATATTAATGCCAACAAGCTGCTGCTCCAATAAAGACCTGCTGACTTCGGAACCAGAACCAGAACCAGAACCTGGTACTGGGTCATGATGTGTTGGAGGATTTTAGTCAGTAAAATCATTCCAGGTTCTGATCAAAGTGTTGAAGCATCAATCATTGATTATTGATTTGTTCCTGTCAGATTCCAGGATTTCACTTTTCTAGACTGGATGACCTTTGACCTGCTTGACCTGAGGGGGATTTCTAC